TAGGTGCCATTTTCATCATGTGTCTTTATCAGAAGCCACACGTTCACTCCAGGACACGCTGATATGAGTCAATACATTAGAAGATCCATTCCCCTTCTGCCCCTGGTGCCCAGGTTGGCTCACTGGCTCACTCTTCCTCTCACACACAACACCAGCCTGGCACACCATCTAGAAAGTAAACATCACAGGCCTGGAGATTCACGACACGGCATTTAAATTATTAAGCAGAAGCCTTCCCAACACCTTTGTGCAATGCACTAGGAACACAAAGGCTAGCAAGACTCTTGGTCACAGCATGTCAGTGTCTCGACACTACATAGATAATGTCCTCTGGGGACCCCAGCACACTGGGGGAAGAAAGGGAGGGTGAGAGGATCTGAGATAGAAAAGGGTGGTCCCACCTGGCGCTGATCCCACTGGGATGGGAATCTGACTTACGATAAACACCATCACTAGCATCTGTACCTGTCAGGTCCCACGCTCCACACAACTGGGCCCAGGCATGCCTGAAAATGCCCCAGCACGTGGAGAACCACTGTCCTTTCCACACCAAGGCCTGTCCCGTCCTGAGTTGACGTATGGGGGATGCCCGGACCAGGATGGAACACTGATACAGCCTAGATGTTTGTCTCCTCCAAATCCCACACTGAAATGTGACCCCTCGTGTTGGAAGTGGGGCCTGATGGTAGGTGTCTGGGTCCCGGAGGCAGGTCCCTTGTGAAGGGCTTGGTGAGTGCATCCTCGCTCTGTGACACCCTCTCTCGCCATGTGACATGCCGGCTCCCCTTCCCCATCCGCCACAAGCAGAAGCTTTCTGAGGCCTCCCCAGAAGCAAATGCCAGCACTGTGCTTGCTGTAGAGTGCACAGCCACAAGCCAAAATAACCCCCTACTCTTGGTAACTGACCTAGTCTTAGGTATTTATTCACAACGATGCAAAATGAACCAAGGCAACATCTACGGACCCGGGTTCCAGCATCTTTGAGTTCTTTTACCCTCCCTCGACGCACCTTCCCTGGAACTGAGGCCAGACACGCTCTGGGAACCTCCAAAGCCTACTGAAGTCTGACATCCAGGTAGTGAGTAGAGACACACATGAACAATCATTTGCCAGAAACCCCGTCCCCTCTCACGACACGGCCTCACTCAGACGGAGCTCAGGACATGGCTCCGTGGCATCAAACCCTGCCAAAGACCCTCCCTGCATTCAAGAGAAAAACAACTCTCACTTTATAGTTTCTAAAGATATAAAAGTTGTTTAAATTCCTAGTACCACCGATGGCCCGCGTTTGGCCTTTGCTTCAATTACCCCATTCTCTTTAAGCAAAATGAAATTTGAAGCCATGCGTTGGTCCTGGTGCTGAAGCTGGTGTATTAGCATAAATATTGGCTTGGCGGAAGTTACACATTTTTCTTGCACTCACAGAACTGAAGGGCTCGCCTCCACCGCTCCTTCCCTGCTGTGTGCATTTTCTGAACATCAGCAAAAAACTAGTTTTGTCATCAGAAAACTGCTCTGGCCTGACTTTTAAATTTGGCTGCTGGTACCTACCAGCCAGCAAAGTGATCAGGGATAACTACTTATGACTTAAAAAGAAAATCATTTAGTGAAGGAAGACGGCCAGCCCCTCAAGAGAGGCCCAAGTCAAGGTCATGGTGTTTATTAACAGAGTGGGAGATCCGGGAGGATCTTATCTGGATGATGGGAACATGACGTGCAAAATGTGCTTACAGGTGGCTTTGCCCTATTTTTGTCACTTTTTGTGTGCCAGTGGCCCGATCACTCAGGACAAAGGCAAGCACAAACACAGGCAGACAATATCGCCCCAGAAGAAATCCATTCACAGGCTGACGGCCACGGCTAGCTAAGAAAGTCAATTTTTGCTCTATGGTCTTAAACTTCCGATGGTGACAGAAATTTTTAGGTGTAATCTGGGCTTGACTGCCTTTTGGGTCAAGTTTCATATCTGCAGGTCTCTACGTCGGTGCCATTTACGGGGTTTGTGTTAACCAGCAGTCCTACCACCTGACAACACCCCTTTCCGGGGGTGTGGGCCTCCCCTGCAATCACCATTTTTCTTTAGCTACAAATTTCTCATGCATGGAATCTACTTCCCGCTCAGGCTGAGTGAGTCGCCTACTATTTTATGTCAAGACCTAAGGCCAGATGCACAAGGGCAAGCTCGTTAAAACAAGAGGAGCTTGCCAGGCATGGTGGCTTACGCCTGTCATCCCAGCACTTTGGGAGGCCGAGATGGGAGGATCACTTGAGCCCAGGAGTGCGAGACCAGCCTGGACAACATGGTGAGACATCAGTCTGTATCAAAAATAATAAAAGCATTAGCTGGGCATGGTGGTATGTACCTGCAGCCCCGGCCACTTGGGAGGCGGAGGCAAAAGAACTGCCTGAGCACAGGAGGTCAAGGCTATGATGAGCTGTGATTGTGTCACTGCACTCCAGCCTGGGCCAGGGGGACCCCAACTCAAAAACAAAACAAAACAAAACAAAACAATGAGCGTATCTCCACTCAGCTGTTAAAAGAGAATGCACTCCATGTCAACGTGGGCCTCTCGGTGTCCTTCCTCCATGGTCTGCACATCTCAGGCTCTGTGAGCATCTTCCCTTCATGCCCTGCACTCCGGATGCTCCAGCCTTGCATCCACCCTCCCTCTCCCTGGGGCAGGCTGCCTGTTCCCTGGTCCTCACAGACCGCAGGCAACACCGGTGCCATCTCACAGCCTGCAAGCCCAGTCCAGCCTCGGCGCCCGGGACACACGTGGCCACAGGCTACCTGCCTGCTTGTCTTGCCCACCTGACTGGAAGGTCAGATGGGGCAGGGACCCCCTGTGAAACACTCTGTGTGTTAAATGCTCCCAGGTAAATGACTGCAACAATCGTCTCGCCGATTTTTTACAGGTTTCCTTGAAACTGGAACCCCTACTTCCTCTCTCAAGCAGATTTGTTTTTCCTAAATATTTAGGGTCTTTTAACTATTAATACCACCGATGACCTGGAAAATCAAGTGCCCTCGGACTTTGTTCAATGACCTCTCTTTCATTAAGTAAAACGACAACTGAAACCACACAGGGGCTCTCACATTGAGGGAAAGCTTTAGCCTAGTATAACCCTGCTAGCTTCTCACCTAGAGATCCAAGCCCCGATCACTGAAAATACCAAAGGCCTTCCACAAGCAGGTTGCATTCTACCTGCTCTGTCCCACCTCACGCTCCAGGCAGGCCAGGTTCCCCTGTTTTCCTTTTCATGGTACAATGTGCCCTTTCATACCTACTGCTCATACCCCGCCTGAGCCCCAGCCAAGCCTGCCCTTCTTTGCTGGGATCAACCCTGAATGCCACCCAAGTGGCCTCATCAACTCTGGGCAAGCAGAATTCTACTCTCTGCCTGAGCCAGGCCAGATGTTACTCTCCATGCACGAGGGAGGACCCCAAAACCCAGGAATTTATTGATAAAAAATCGTGAGGGAGGAGCCAAGAAAAACCTGGAATTATCTTTTGGGGGGTGGACCCTTGGAATACAGGCCTCCCCCTCTAGATAAGTTTTCTAGGAACCCATCGGCATCATGGACCAGCGAGCGTTGGGAGAGGCTGCGTTCGGCTTCAGTGAATTTTGGGGGGAGATTCTTTCTTTTCTATTTTTTTGAGTTGGAATCTCACTCCATCGCCCAGGTTGGAGTGCAGTGGCACGCTCACGGCCACTCCAGTGTCAACCTGCTGGGCTCCGGCGATCCTTCCACCTCAGCCTTCCAAGTAGCCAGAACTACAGGTGCACGCTACCATGCCCGGCTAATTTTTCATTTATTGTAGAGACGACTTCTCACCAAGTCGCCCGGGCTGATCTCCAACCTGCAGGCTCAGGCAATTCACCCACCTCAGCCTCGCAAAGTGCTGGGCCACTGAGCCTGGCCTGGGGACATTCTTTCAATGTGTTTTCCCTTTTCATGATGGGTGTTTTACGAGCTCACCAGCCCACACCATGCTGAGTGTTCAGCAGTTTTTGACCAAACGTGGCATGACCCCTGTGCCCCATCCTCTCGATTCACCTGATCTCACCCGAACGACTTTTGTTTCCCTGCATGAAAAAATTCCTCAAAGGGAAATGTTTTGCCGATGTGGAAGAGGTGAAACAAAAAATGGCAGAAGCTCTAAAAGGCGTCAAAACGGATGCATTCTAAAACCGTTTTGAGCAGTGGAAAAACCATCTTGATGGGTGTATTGCATCACACGGAGAGTACTTTGAAGGTGACTGAAGTCTGTACGTGTAGGACTAAATACACAGTTTTTCATAAATAAATTATGGGTTTTGGGGGGTTCCCCCCTCAGACGTCTGTCTCACTAGACTGAATCGTCATGGGTAGAAACACCATTCCTTCATCTTTGCATCTCCAGGCCCCAGGACTGAGAGAAAAGGGGGACTCAGTACATGCCAACTGAATTGCTTCAAATGTCTGGTATCTCCTTCAGAAACTGAGATGGAAAAAACAGGAATTAAGCAGGAAAGCGGATCTCGAGGGTCTTAAGTAAGCAACTGCATGCCATCTCTCCTTCTGTAAATAAGTAAGCAGTGACATGCCATTTTCCTTAACTGCAATCTCTGTTTCTGTAAACACGCTTTATTACACCTCCTATGGAAATGGCAATAAAAATGTCTGCCTCAATGCTTGTTGTAAAAGTAGAAGCAACCGTTCTCGGCCCTAAATTTAAAACTGTAAACCCACCAATGACAAACCCATGTATGTTGTAACCAAAGAGCTCTGAAACAGCAGCTTGAAACTGAGGGTGGGGGCTCAGGTTTTGGGAGGCTACTTCCACCTGAGAATTCTGGAATAAACACCTTCGATGCTCCTCTCAGTTTCTAGTGCCTGTTCTGAGCGCATTCACCCCTGCTCCCCAATGAGTGGCTGCAGTTGCTGTAACAAAACGGTACGCCCAGCTTGAAAAACCCGTTACAAGATGCCAACCGCGACTGGGCACGTAACTCACCTCTTTGAGAACCAGCACACATTTGCCTGGTCCCACCGACTGCGGCAGCTCTGCGATCCTTCCCTTGTTCAGGTAGGGGCCTGAGAAACACCTGTGGTTGATGAACAGCTGAGGGCAGCAGTATTTCCCATTGACACTTCCTACAGGGGAACAGCAACACATCCGAGGCTTAGACCTGCCACGCCAGACCTCGGGGGATCTGCGAGAGGCTCGTTGAGTCCACTCAGGAGGCAAGATGACCTCCAGAAGCCAGAGGTCTTGTATGGATGGAAATCTGGAGTTACAGAAGAAACGGGACTCAAAACAGTCCCAACAGCTGGGTCTCCGGAACTCTACTTGGGCCTCGTTCTGGTTCCAAATGGTGACAGAGCAGTAGAGAAAAACAGGCGATTTTCCTCTTTGGAGAAGGGTGAGGTGGGTCTTCATAGCAAGACATTTTAGATCCAGACTAAAAATCTTAAAAATTCTGATTATTTTTCCAGCATATCAACAGACTTTCCTGTCTATTATGCGGTATTCAAGACATACAGGAAGGCACAGAGACTAAGACAATGACTATTCAGGATCACTGTGCCGCACAAGAATAAAAATACCTTCTACACAGCTAAGCTCCCTGTGTCTCCTACCCCAATGACTTCCTCCAAGTCCCCTTAAGGGGTAGCCAGGAACCTGAAGCTGGTATTTATCAGTCCCACGCAAGTCTGTCAACCTTTTCACATACAAAGGCATGTGTGTACCTACATGTAATCTATGATACTTAGGATAGTTTTAAAAATATTCCATAAATGACTTTCTGCAGTATTTTGTTTTCATGCTCAGCATGAAATTTCTGGGAGACATCCAGGTTGATAAATATGTATCTGGAAGGTTCATTCATTTTTCACAGCTGTGTATTACTGCATGAAATCAATATATCACAACCTAGCCATCTATTCTCTTACGGATGGATATTTAGTTGGTTTTTTTTTTTTCGGTATTCCCCAGAGTGCTTTCATGAAAACGACTGTAGAATCTTCTGCGTCCAGATAAGAGATTACTACAATTGAGTAACAGGAATGGAGTGGCTAGGCCAGAGGTCTGTGGGTCTGCAGTTTCGCTAGACACGGCCCAACTGTCCTCCACAGTGACTACCCCTTAATGTATATACTCCTGTCACACCACGTAAGAGTCCTTGCTGTCCCAGAGTCAAGCCAACACTAGATACCGTTAGACTTCTCCGTTTTGCCCATCTGAAGAGGATGAGATATGCCTCACTGTGGCTTAAAATTACACTACCCTTTCAACTCAGAGAGGAAACAGGCCAAGCTGTTGTCTTGCTGTGTCTCAAGTTGCCAAGGACAAACAGCAGAATACTTGCATGCTAAGATGGCACACTAATGTTCCTTGATGTCTGTACCCGTAGGGCGAGGTTTCACTTCTGGCTAAGGGCCTCCCCACCTGGGCCCCACCCTACCCACGTGCCAAACTAAGCAATACAACAGCGGCATTTCTGCATAAATACTGTTATCAATTTGGGATGGCGATTTAACAGTCTAGGAAGGACTGTTCTCACAGAGACTTCAACTAAAAACCAACAGGTAGGTGGCAGAAACATTGTCCTTCTGGATAGCAGAGAAAGAGTAAAATAACAATGACAGACTGTGAAAAGGTAGATGGCAGGGTTCTTTTAAAACCGTTCTGAAGTTTGAATTCCATACGTCAGGTGACATCATTAAGTCCACAGCTGCACTGACAGGGAAATTTTTTGGTAGGATTACCCTGTCTTTAGATTATCAGACCTTTAGGGAGAAAAGAATTTTAGTTATGTCTATGTTTAAAACTGCTCTCTCTACTACAAAGATAATTTTCAGCTAACAGGATTCTTCCATGAGCATCACGGCCTTAATCCTGGAATTAAGAGCAGGTTTCGTTCTAGTTTAGAAAACACAATTCTTAATCAAGTATGACTTACTGTACAAACATGCCTATTACCAGATGTGGTGGTCATAGGCCACAGTTGTATTTTCAAAGGTTATTGTAACATGTAAAACTTGGCACATTAAAATACATTTATATTGTTCACAACCAGCTTTCAAACACAGAGAATTTTAAGGAACAACTAAAAAGCCAGTGGCGACTTAAGTATTAACTATTAACCACTAGTGTAAAAATACAAGTGAAACTGATAAAATGTCAAAAAAGAGGTATAGAGAATTTAGCTTCGAAATCCTTTGTTTTTTTTGAGTCAAGGTCTCACTCTGATGCCCAAGCTGGAGTGTAGTGGCATGATCATGGCTCACCACAGCCTCAATCTCCTAAGCTCAGGCAATCCTTCTGCCTTAGCCTCCCGAGTAGCTGAGACTACAGGTGCACACCACCATATCCGGCTGATGTTTTGTAGAGGCAAAGTCTCGCTATGTTGCCTAGGCTCAAACTCCTGGACTCAAGCAGTCCTTCCACCTCGGCCTCCCAAAATGCTGGGATTATAGGCATGACCTACGGCACTCAGCCTCAGATTTTTTTAAAAAAGGAAATTATCTGTTAGTGAGTAGCAATAGAAAAAGCAAGATGAGATATATTCATATTGACCTAAAACTGTACATATAACCCCACTCCCAGCGACAAGTTGAGAAAGGACAGAGAACTTGAAGTGCGACCCATTTACCTGTAGTGTCCAGGTGAGGGAATAAACAGAGTTCATGAGGTATTTTCTTAACAGGCACTGCGGACGGCAATCTGTCAACAAAGAAAATGGAACTATCACGAATCACAAACTTTAGAAGGAATGATGACATCACTGAAGGAGACTATTCCAGAAATTTAAGACACATGCACAGTAAGACAAGATGTATGTACAGATGCAACAACATGGCCGGATAAAAAGATCATTTCAGAAAAGTTGCTCTCAAATTCTTCGGGTGACCCTAAGAAGCCTGGGGAACACCTGTCCCCATGCGGCCATCACTGATCCAGAAGTTTCTCCTGATTGGCTGCCAGCCTTGCCTCTTGCGATAGAATTGTATTCACGTCTTCAATTATATTTTAGACACGAAGAAACATGAACTTGCATTTCACTTAAAGTCAGACTTTTCCACTTGAATGTCTCACTGCAAACCACTTTCTGCTAACCTTTGGTTTCTGACATCTGTGTCTGTGTGAGTCACGGCCACACTCAAAACAACCGGTGATTCTTGAAATATCAAGTAGGCTTATTCCAGGACAGGGCTCTGTTACAGAGTTCTGTAGACATGTTGCTGAATTGATACATCTTTTAGAATGCAGCCTTTGGGGAAAAGAAGTGCACTGAGTTTCCCCAGTGTGTCCATCCTGGTTGGCTGAAGAAACCACACGGTTGAAATCTATGTAAACTCAAAGCAAATCACAGCAAGAGGTCTTAGTGGGTCATCGACAGCAGTGGTTCTCAAAGTGGGCTCCCCAAACCCACAGGTTCAGCAATAACATCAGAAATGCAGATTCCCAGGCACCAACCCACACATCCGAGTCAGAAATTTGGGGGATGGGGCTCAGCAGTCTGTGTGTCATAAGCTCTCTAGGTGACCGACACGTGTAGAGGGTGAGAATCATTCATCCACGGACTACAAACTTAGAAGTGATAAATTCAAGTTTGGCATTTTTTGCTCTGACTCTCTCTCTCCGCCTTAATGTCATGTGGATAAAAGGGACTCAGGTTATGAGGTTGGTACACTCCATTTAGAAATGGACTCCCCAAAGGACCCACAAAACCATTCTTCTCATTCAAATAATAATGTAGTTATTATTCAATTTCATTTCATTTAAACTTGAGTACTATACATAAAAAATGCTGTTTTCAGTTCTCTTTCCACCCATATATTTTTATTTACTCAAGACAGCAGAATCACTTGGCATGGAATGTATAACTTAGTGCATTTTAAATATTCTTCAATGCATACAAATGTTACCAGCAGTTATAGCTTTTCAAAAACACACTGCCCGCCTGCACAAACTCAGTCCTAACACCTCTCTCCTCTTAAATCTCCAACTGAAACGGGGGTGCAGGGAGAGGTGGGTGTCATCTATATTTATTCAGGCATGTAAGGCTCATCGTTTTTTCTGGAATCTAATTTAATCATCATAAAAACCCCAAAATAGGTATTTTACAAATGAGGGGAGGAGGGTTAAAGCAACTTTCAGATTCCACCAGCAGAGCTGGAGTCAGACTGACGTTCTTCTCCTCCCAGGCCTCGCCATCACTGGGCAGGTGAGTCAGAAACAGGGTTCTAGGGAGGGTAAGGGGCCACGTGTCTATACAGTTATTACTGGATAGGTGAATAAGAGACTGGGTTCTGGGTAAAGTAAGGGGCCACGTGTCTACACAGGCATCACTCGATAGGTAAGTCAGAGACAGGGTTCCCAGTGACACAAGGGGTCGCATGTCTACACAGCCATCACACGACAGGTGAGTCAGAGACAGTGCTCTGGGTAGCGCAAGGAGCCACGTGTCTACACAGCCATCACTGGACAGGTGAGTAAGAGACAAGGCTCCGGGTGGGGTAAGGGTCCCATGTGTCTACACAGTACCTGCCGCCCGGGGCCTCTGGGGTTGCAAGAATCACCGGGCCAGAGAGCCAGGACTCCAAGGATGTGAGTCTGGGTGCTCTCCAGGTGTGCCGAGAGGGAATGAAAAGTGAGCAGGGGCAATCCGGACCACGGCTCCCTGGGAAGCAGGCTCTTGTGCCTTGCGCATAGCAGGTCTGTGACCCATTACAGCAGCTGGAGTTACTGTGCCCCTCACCAGTGAGCTATTTGTTTGTTTGTCTGTTTAGAGTTGGAGTCTCGCTCCATCGCCCAGACTGGAGGGCAGTGGCACGCTCAAAGCTACCCCAGCATCGACCTGCTGGGCTCCAGTGATCTTTCCATCTCAGCCTTCCAAGGACCCAGGACTACAGGCATGTGCTATTACACCTGGCTAATTTTTTTGATTAATTGTAGAGACGCGGTCCTGCCAAGTTGCCCAGGCTTGTCTCGCACCCACGGACCCAGACAATCTACTCGTTTCAGGCTCCCAATATGCTGGGATGACAGACTGAACCATGAGTCCGACCCAGTGTGCTATTTGTTAGCTAACTATAATAAAAACACCCATGCTTCCAGTCCTCTACAAAGACCCTCTACAGTTTATCATGCAGTTTGGGGAAAATAAAAACAAAAACACGTACTGTTTTTCTGGCTGCACAACTGCAATCTTTCTCTTCTTTTGTGCTGCAAAAAAAGGCAAACAAGGAAAAAGAGAAAATCAACTTTGTTAGTGAAGCAAGTGAATTTTTAAAAATGGGCTAGAAGATTAAAATGTGCCTGTTTTAAAGTAACAATTAAAATGCTGAAAAGTTATTTTGCTCATGCTATAATTTTATATCAGTTTCTTCTAGAATAAAATAGACTTTGACTCATCAGATGTGAGCTCCACAGAACATAGTTCATTTAATCTTATTGCTGCACTGGCTACTTTATTTTAACATGTGCATTTAACGAGAAAGAAAAAGAGTACTCCCATCGTACCTTACATAAACATATGTGTTCAGATAAATTGCTGCAAGCATGATTATGCAAGATGATTTTTTTTTTACCATAGGAATTGGGATGAAGCAAATCCTGTTCATCACAGCACACTCGTCCACGTGGCATCAAGGGCATGCATTTATTTTATATATACATTTATTTTTTGTAGAAAGGGTCTCACTCTGCTATCCAGGCTGCAATGCAGGGGCACAATCAGAGCACACTAGAGCCTTGAACTCTTGGGATCAAGTGATTCTTCTGCCTCAGCTCCCAAGCAGCTGGGCTACAGGTGAGCACCAACATACCCAGTCAATTTCTTTTATTTTTTTGTACAGACAAGCTCTCACTATGTGGCCCAGGCTGGTCTTGAACTCCTGGGCTCAAGTGATCCTCCCGCTTCAGCCTCCCCAAGGGCTGGGATCACAGGCATGAGTCACTGTGTCCAGCCAGAAGCATGCATTTGAACTAAAACATTTTATTACCAAAAGAAGAGCTGGTGGCTAGTAAATATGACACGTACCAGCAAATAATGATCGTTTTGGATAAGAACATTTCCAGTTTACATTTACGACTGATTAGGATCACCTTAGCAAAAATAGACCAGAACTTTTGGCATCTACTAGTTTTGGCTCAGCCCACCCGGCCTCTTCCAACATAAGCATACATCAATTCCAACAAAACTTCTAAAGCTGTTAGAGTCTGGCAGGTTTAGAGCCGGAGTCTGCCTCTTTAAAGCAAAATGTACGTGTAAGAAGTGCAAGCAAAAATAAATAAGAGAAATACTCTACGAAACCCCACCCACTCTTGACTTCATTTGCTATTCACTTCACACTTCACAGTTATTACTATAACAAGGTGTAAACCTGATGGCCTCCAAGGCGAAAAACGAGGTTAGAAGACATGTCCACGTTAGACTTTGTTAGCAGGGCGGGGATGCCAGACTGTATGATGTCTTGGCGAAAGGTCAAGTACAATAGCCCCAGATGCAACATGCAGGCCAACAAGGAAACATTACGACATTCACCATAACACATATGTGATTTTGCTCAACCCAAAGCACTTGACACCTCGCAAATCCACGTGAAGGAAGGAGGAAGAGGCTCTAGGACACGAGGTTCTAACTGAGGAGCAGCAGGACAAAGGGGACTGGCCCCCTACCCTGTGGCAGAACCCAGGGGGAACCTGATTGTTGACCATACTGGTTCAGGGAGATAAGAATCTGCATTATTTTAAGTGTGTGTGGGGGGGAAGAATATCCCCGAGATTAAAATAATTATTGTATGCTTAACATTTTATTAACATTTTTAAGTGAAGAAAAGATATTCTCCTAGTTGGATCAGATCCACTGATCAGGATAATATAAAGAAAGAAGAATCCCTAAAATCCACCTCTGTCTACAGTTGGAACTACCGACTTTGTTTCACACAGGTAATGCCCTAGAGTGTTCTTAATAAATACCAAGTTGGGGCACCCTTGAGATGCCCTTCTTTATCAGAGAATGTGAAGCCAACTAGGTGATGAAACTTTGTTGACAGCAATGTTCTGAGAATCTGCAGAATTGTACCACAGAACAGGTTGCCAGAAAGAAGTAAAACTGACATATCAATTCCACAGAGAAAATAACAGAAATATAATCTCTGACAAAAAGTTTAAGCCTATTATTTTTAAGGGCTCACACTTTTTTTTTTTTTTTTTTGAGTTG